CTGGGGACATTACAGAGTTCAGAGCCTGGGGTAATCTCACAAGGCGCTTTGCACCCAGTGTGGTGCACTGAGGACCATTTCATTCTTTTGAATTGCTGTGAGTTATCCCCTGGTTAAAAAACAAGATCCCATGTCCATTCCCAGAACCTCATGTGGGCACCTGAGCACTACCCCAGAGCACAAAGCATGAAGACACCCCTTAGCTCAGCCAATTTGCCCCTCAGAACCAACCCTCCTCCCTGAACCCAGTAAGTAAATACAGAATCATCCAGACACTGAGGAAACTTCAGTAGCGCCTTTTCTCACTCTTCCATGCAGCCAGCACTGTCGGCTTCAGGAGGGAAGACTGGGAGACCATGTCACCTGCCCTGGCCCAGAAATGACTTCTTTCTGGGACCCCAGCCAGTACCACTCTCTGCCACACCCTGCAGCTCCTTGAGAGAATTCTTTGCTTTTTGGGTCACACCCAGCGATGTGCAGGGGTTACTCCTGGCATTGCACTCAGGAATTACTCCTGGCGGTGCTCAGGGGACCATATTGGGAGGCTGGGAATCGAACCTGGGTCAGCCGCATGCAAGGAGAACGCCCTCCCCACTGTGCTCCAGTTCCCGGCCCTGAGAGAATCCTTTCCCAGGCAGACTGCAGGCTCCTCAGGGACTTCACAGACGGTCTCTGGGGACTGTTCAGCACATCCTGGGAGAGCAAAACTGACAATCCACTGCCGAGCCCAGGTCCCCTCCCATTCCTCAGGAGCCCATGAGCCTAGGAACTCTTCTCAGGACCCTGGGGACAGGAGGTGATCAAGGCCAGCTTTCCTAAGGGCAGGAGTTATCTGCACGACTTGTGCGCTGATCATCAGAATCCAGGGTGAACCCGGAGGGTAAGGCTTGGGAACTATCCTCTCCTGGCCACCCTGACCCTCACCTCAGTCCCCTGGACTCCACACTGCCTCCCTCAGTCCAGGCGTAGCTGTGTCATTTTCCGGGAGGAGGTGGCAGAACAGCTCCTCTCCCGGAGCTCCCCCACATCCAGGGATGGACTGAGAGGGGCTGGGGATGCCCCCAGTCAGCCCCTTAGAGGCGGCCCCCTGCCAGGCCTAGGGAATGGCACAGGTGGGAAATGGGTCCAGAGGCAGGCATGGGAGACCTGGCAGGGGAGGGTCTGTAGGCAGCGGGTCCCCTCTGGGATGGGAATCTGAGGAAAGGGAATCAATTGGCTAGGGGAGGGCATGACACTGAGAGTGGATCTCTGGAGCCTTGGGGACCAAAGCACACATACACACACACACACACACACACACACACACACACACACGCACTCACGTGTGTGTGCGCGCGCATGCCCTGCCCTGTGCAGAAGCCCAGAGTACTCCAGTGGCTTTAGGGACTCAGTCAGATGCAGGCAGGCTCCGAGCACTGGTTTGTGTCTTCCCTGAAGGAGCCAAGGTGTGCAAGTCACAGTCCCTCCCAGATCTGCGTTGGATTCCTGCTCCAGGCTCTGAGGGACCAGCAGGACCAGGCCCCCAGCTGGCCCCTGAGCTGGTCCAAGAAACACGTGCCAGAGCCAGGCAGATGGTGCTAAGGCATAGAGCACATGCTTTGCATAAAGGTGGGGGAGGCAGGGTTTAGTCCTGACACTGCAGGACCCCCCAGCCACACAGGAAATGGGTCCCCCAACACCACCTTGTGTGGTCCAAAAGGAAACAATGAAAAAAGTGCCCTCATCCTCCACACTTTCAAAAAGTTCCTGATGTCACTTTGCTTTTTCACACTGGCATTTCCACCTATGTCCGCAAACGGAAAGAAACCCAAAGCAGATTTCTGCTTCCTGTGGACCCCCACTCAGCATGTTGGTCCTTCTGGGGCCAGCGCTGCACTCCGGCAGCAAGGGAAGGTCCCCCTGAGTGCTTCCCAAGAAACAGGCTGCATGTTCGTCAGACCTTTCCTGCTTTTATGGGCTCACGTGTGTTCCCTGAGGTTTTCTGTGCTTTGGGTTTGACTTGGCAGGTATTTGGGGGGGGTCTGAGAATGCTCAGAAGAGTTTCCAGCTCCTTGAACGGTGCCTACATCCCAGCTTTGGGCTAGGTTTAAGTTCAAGCTTTAAGTTCAAGCTTACAAAAGGTCTCCAAAAAAGAAAGAGGCTCTACTTCTGGGTGATGGGGAAAACCTGTATTTAGTATTCCGAAGTCAAGGGTAAGCGGAGCCAAAGAGAACAGCATACAGGACAAGGAGTCAGTGTATGAGTGTCGCACTGGGAGGGGGAGCAGTAAATCAACATCAGTGAGAGGCTTCAGTTCCACTTCTGCAGGAACCTGAAGGCAATGAAACAAGCCGTAGAGGTGGAGGTCTCCTAGAGGAGGCCCCAAGGCAAAGTGCCGACAGCGAGTGAATTTGAGGAAGAACAGAGACAGCTGAGGTCACGGTAGAGATGCCAGGGAAGGCACACAGAGTCTGGAGGTCTCTGGAAGATTCTGGTTCATGATGGAATAGAGCTATGAGCCTAAACAACATCAACAGCAGCCAAACCTGAACTCTCAGAAAGTCCTGCAAGTGCACAAAGCAACCGAGTCGAGTTCCCCCTAGAATCCTTGCTCTGTGCCACGAAATCTGCGGGGTCGTTTCCCACCCCTCTGCCCTCCTCCCTCCTTCCCTTCCCTCCCTTTCCTCCTCCCTCCACCTCCTGCTTCCTCCTCCTCTTCTTTTTCCCTCCTCCCCCTCATCCTCCCTCTCCTGTCCCCCTTCCTCCCTCTCCCCTCCCTCTCCTGTTCCCCTTCCTCCCTCTTCTCAGTTCCCTTCCTCCCCCTCCTCCCTCTTCTCAGTTCCCTTCCTCCCTCTCCTCCCTCTCTTACTCCTCTTCCTCCCTCTTCCCCTCCTCCCTCTCCTTCTCTCCTTTCTCTCTGGCTCCCCTTCCTCCCCTGCTCCCTTTCCTCACCTTCCTCCCTCTCCTCTGTTCCCCTTCCTCCCCCCTCCCTTTCCTGCTCCTTTCTTCCCCTCCTTCCTGTCCTCAGTTCCCTTCCTCCCCCTCCTCCTCCCTCTCCCCCTCCTCCCTTTCCTGCTCCCCTTCCTCCCCTGCTCCCCTTCCTCACCTTCCTCCCTCTCCTCTGTTCCCCTTCCTCTCCCTCCTTCCTGTCCTCAGTTCCCTTCCTCCCCCTCCTCCTTCTCCTCCCCTCCTCCTCCTCCCTCTCCTCAGTTTCCTTCCTCCCCCTCCTCCTCCCTCTTCTGCTCCCCTTCCTCCCTTCCTCCTCCCTCTCCTGCTCTCCTTCCTCCCCTCCTCCTCCTCCTGTCGCTGCCCTGACCTTGTCCCCAGCTGGCTTGCCTGCGTGCTGCTGAGACAGTGGCTGCCTCCCAGTTGCAGGCACAGGCTGAGGACAAGGCCAAGGGGGGACGCAGGGAATGAGGCCCCGAGAGAGGCAGGCGGCAGCACGCGCAAGGACGTCACGGGGCCTCTGACCGCTCTTCATTTCAGCGCCCCCACCCCTCCCGGTGCCCATCAATAACCGGCACAGGACCAGGACGGGGGCGAGCAGGAAGAGGCCACAGCCAGGGTCTGGGCAGGAGGCGGCAGCTCCTGGGGAAAGGCGGGGGTCCCGGGAGCAGAGAGGCTGCTGGGATTTCTGTCTCCCTGAGTTCTCCCCTTGCTTCCTTCGCCCCACGTTTCTGCTCCCTCACACACAGCTCCAGGTCCCCCTTAGTGACACCAGGGAACGGGCAGGACCAGGTTCAACACGGCAAGAGGAGGGAATTTTCACGTGTTAATAGACATTGCGCGGGGTCACGTGGTATCCTGAGAAGGCGGTGCCCAGCACAAGCCCAGTGCAGGACTGGCGTGGAAACTAGCTACCTGCCTCCTTCCTGGGCCTGGATCAAACTCTGCCACATAAGGCACCACTCAGGAGAGGGCTGGCATGTGGCCACGAGAATGACCATATGGTCCAGCTGCAGTGGTGTTCAAGGAAGGAGGTGTCTTGAGACGGGTCAGAGGAGTACAGGGAGGGCTGCCTGGAGGAGGAGGGGCTTGATTGGGTTGTTGACACCTGGACAGGGATTGCTCTAAAGTGGGGAGAAGCTGCCGGGCAAGTGAGGGCGCCTCTGAAGGAAGGAAGGTCTTGTGGGGAGGAGTCATGTCAGATAGTCCAGGACAGACGGAAGCGAAGAGATAACCAGCCTCCTAAGCACTCTGCAGACTGCTGTCCACTGCTGGGGGCCTTGGCAGGTCAACCAGAGGCCCCTGCCCTGTATAGTGAGGACACTCCAGGTCTCTGCCACAGCGAGCCAGGCGGGCGCCCATGCTGTGCTGCCTTCAAAAGTCACACAGTGCCTACCTAACACAGGTCCGAATCTCTCAATGGGAGAACTGGGGTGGAATTGGGGAGCGGCGCCCCAGGGGACTGGGCGGGTGGGGGGGCCTTCACGTTTTATGGGGCTCATTCAGACGATAGAGGCCAGCTTGGCACGAGGGTGGGACAAGTCCCGTGCCTGGAAGGAGTGCCAAGATCGGGGTGCACGTCAGCAGACCCTTCACTTTGTGGGGAGCAGCCTGGATTGGCACACGGAAGGAACCTTGTAGGGTCTCTCCATCCCCGCGGAGGGTCCAGCCCGCTGCCCTCTCTCTGTAGGGGCCAGAGGAAGAAACCTTGGCGGGGAGAGGGCTGGGGTGAGGGCCAGGAGCGCTGGTGGGGCTGAGGTAGAACAGGGGTGAAGCGCACGTGCCAGACGGGCACGGGCTGGCCGGGGGTGGGGTGGGGGGACCCAAGAGACCCGCGGGAGAGGGGGCGGGCCGGGGTGAGGACGCGGAGTGGGAGAGCATCCCCGAAGCAGCCCAGTAGCCTCGGCAGGGACGCGCCCGGGGAGGGAGGCGAGGGGACGCGCGCGGGAGGTGGGGCGCAGGGCCCGGGAGCTGGGGAGGTGTGGGGCGCGACGGGGCGCGGCGGCGGCGGCGGCGGCGGCGGCCGGGGGCGCCCCACTGACCCTTGCGCTTCTTCCTCCCCCCACCCCACGCAGGCTGCGCCTTCCTCACCTACTGCGAGCGTGAGTCAGCGCTGAAGGCCCAGAGCGCGCTGCACGAGCAGAAGACGCTGCCCGGGGTAAGTGGCGCCCGCCGAGGCGCGAGCGCGCGCCGCGCCGACAGGGGGCGACTCGGGGACGGGGACCCGGGACGGGGACCCGCGCGCGCCCCACCCCGCGGCCACGGCACGCGACGCGACAGATGCCCGGGCGGCCGGGCTGGACGGCGACTCCGCCTGGCGCGCAGCCCGCGCCCCGGGAGAGGCGCGCGGGGCTGGGGGGAGCCGGGAGCGGCGGGTCCCCGTCGGGCTCCCCCACCCCCCACGGCACGGGAGACTCCGCCGGCCGGTCCCGGGGCGCGCGGGGCGCGGGGCGCGCGGGGCAGGGCCGAGTGAGCTCAGCCGGGGTTATTTAAGGAGCCAGCCCGGCTCTTTGATAAACTAGCGCGCCTCCCCGGCACCCCCTGCTTTATGGCTCCTGCGCGGGGGAGAAGAGAGTAATTTACGGCCCCCCTAACTGGGTGTGATATCAGCCCTGGCTATTATCGAGGCTAGTTCATCACCATAAAATAAGAAGCGTTCCTCGGGTCAAGGGTCTGCGCCGGCTCTCCAGGGGGGGAGTCCGAGAGACTGAGAGCGGAGGGCACGGGAGGGGAGGAGAGAGATAAACGGCTCCCACGGCACCTGGAGATAAATGGGAAGAGGTGTGTGTTGGTGGGCATCATTGAAAGAACGCATCCAAGTACCGGGTTGAAGCCTGGACCGTGGGCACGAGTGCCGGGAAGCACGAGTGTTTGATAAGCACGCTCACCCGTGTGGACACACGCATGTTTACCTTCTTACCAAGCCGGCCGTGTGTAAACACGCGCCGCCTGGACGGGGCCCCACGCGGCGAAAGGCGAACCAGGGAGGCAGCAGACAAGAAAAGGTAGCTTTGCAGCCGAGATCCGTCTCCAGCTTCGGAGTGGGCAGAACCTGCCATTAGGAAAACCTTTGTATTGCATTTTGAGTATTTGTGATTGCGAGGAGGCGCGGGGCTGAGTCATCTTAATAACAGACCCTCGCATGCAAATGTATGGAAATCAGGTGCCCGCGCGAGGCTTGTGTGGCACTCAGCTCCAGCAAGGTGGCCTGTTCCCCAGTTGGTTTTTCAACGGCGAGATTACATGCACATATATTATAGTAATTACTTTCTGGGTGCCCTCTGTAGGATGGCAGAAATATGCTCCACGTCGCCCCATGCTATGTGTGAAGCATAAAGTCATATTGTAAAATAATCAAAGGCTTCTGAGAAAGGTTTGCGCTGATTAATAAAGTGTTTACGGTACTTTGTTTTGGGGGGAGATTGTGATAGATATTTCAGAGGCACCCAAATGGAATAGAAAATACCACATCGTTATGGGAGGCCCTTCATCAGCCCGAGAGAGATTGCTGGGGAGTTCTATGATCGCGAAGGGCTGGAAATTAAATGGGGAGGCAGAAAGGAGGGAGAGGGAAGGCTGAGAATTTGTGAAGGGGGGGAGAAGCCTGAGACGACAGAATTTTAGTATCCAGTGTGGATTGTTCGCGATCTAACATTAACTTGTGGTTGTTTATTTTACATATAATAGAATAGCTAAATGATGGAGTGTATTAGTTCTTTAATAATTTATAGAAATACTTTGATGCTGCAGTAATTACATTAAAGGTCACATATCAAAGGTAATTTGGTTGAGCAGCTGTGATGGTTTCTCAGAAGCAATCAATACCACTGTCCGTGGTGCTGATCTCACCAAGGGGCCTGCCAGATTAAAGAAGGCTTATTACCAGGCAGAAAGGCCCAGGGGAAATCAGTTGCACATTGGAGCAAAGCACCCGCCCCCCCCTCCACGATAATTAACACTGTTCCCCATAATCTGTGCTAATCCTTCATACTGGGAGATCCAGTGGCATTTTTCTGAAATCACAAAGACAAGTTGGGCAAATTTGGGTAAAGGACAAAAAAAGAAATGTGAATGTGTGTTTGGGGAGTGGGAGGGGTTGAAGAGAGAGGCCAAGAGCCAGACGGAGGCAGAACCAGAGTTCCCCTCATGGTGCCTAGAACACCAGTCTGTCTTCAAAAGCCTCGCGGGGCAACTCGGAGCCTCAAAGGCCTCAGTTGTTGGGGCAGGCACAGCCCACGGGGGCGGAGAGGGACAGGGAGAAAAGATGGGATTGTTGATGGAACCTACCAGGGCACGTGGTGCCCGCACACATTCACGGGCAGACAAATGAAACACAAAATGGCCCAATAAAATTCCGCTTTCAAGTGGAGTCATTTGGATTCCAGAAAGCAGAACTGGCATTATTATTGTGGGCTGGTTCTCTCCTTTGAGAGCCGAGAAAGTGTGCCGCGAGCAAATGCGTGGACAGGACTGAGCAAAATGTTCTCACACAATCGAATAAGAGCTGCTCCCTGCCAGCCAGGGACGTGCTGGTGACCGCCTCTTCGGTTGAGGTGCGGAGGGGAATGGGCAGGGGTGGGGAGGGGAATGCAGAGAGGGATCTCTTCTTATCTGGGGTGACCACAGGATGTGCCCAGGTGAGCACACTCGAAGCCTGCCTAAAGAGAATGAAATTGAAAGCAGAACCTGGAAAACTGGTCTCCTCAGTCATTTAGGCACTTTCCAGATTTCAGAATCCATTCAAATCAATCCATTCAAATCAGCCCTGCACTTGCTCATGGAGAAGAGAGTGTGCGGAGAGGACAGCGCAGCCAGCCCGGCTCTGCTTCCAACTTCCAGAGCCAGGGTCCTGGTGCCAGCAAGGAAAACAATCTCATTGTTGCCTCTCTCCTATACACACACGCCACCACTACCACCACCCCTGACACCAACAACCAAACGACAAAAGCAGCCGCACCCTCCCGCTGCCCTGGCTGGACAACCAAGAATGGGGGCGGGGGGGGGCGGCATGAGAGACCAGACCACAGTGCTGTATGTGTGAACCAGAGGTCAGTGTTCTTGGAAACCAGCCTAACCGGAGTCCTTGGAGGGCTGATGGAGTCATCCCTGGGCCAGTTCACAAATGGATTCTCATTCTGGAGTTTGGCGTGATGGCAAGAGAATGAGATCACTAAACCAGGAAGCCCCGCCGGGGTTCTTCAGAGCAGTGTCTTCTGCCAACCTCTGGGCAGAGAGCTGCCTTTTTTTTCTTTTTGGGTCACACCCAGTGATGCACAGGGGTTACTCTTGGTTCTGCATTCAGGAATTATCCTGGCAGTTTTCGGGGACCATATGGGATGCTGGGAATCGAACCCGGGTTGGCCACATGCAAGGCAAACGCCCTATCAGCTGTGCTATCGCTCCAGCCCTAGAGGGCTCCCTTTTTAACCTCTTGCCCCTTTCTCCATCTTTTTCTTTCCTTCTTGGTCGCCCACCTCTCTTCAGCCCATCCCATCTTTTCTCCTTTTTCTCCCTTGTGCCAACATGGGGCATTTTCTCACTCCAACAATCATTACCTATGTCTGAGAGGGCACCATACTAGCCATTCTCCCATGTAAGAAACAATGTAACTAACCCCTGTCCTCTTAGAGTTGTCCATCAATTTGGTATCAGAAGTCACACACAGATTCACGCGAACACCAGTGACAGCCTGTTATTACCACATGGGAGGCCTATTCTAGTGACAGTATTTACTACACAGTCGGTATCTGGCGGGCAGGCCCTGAGCATATTACCTCCATTTCTCATTCTGTCTCCACCCTATGGGCTGGAGCGATAGCACAGTGGTAGGGCGTTTACCTTGCACGCAGCCAGCCTGGCAGAGCCGGGTTCGATTCCTCCACCCCTCTGGGAGAGCCCAGCAAGCTACCTAGAGTATCTCACCCACATGGCAAAGCCCGGCAAGCTCCCCATGACGTATTCGATATGCCAAACATAGTAACAACAAGTCTCACAATGGAGACATTACTGGGCCCGCTCGAGCAAATTGATTGAACAACGGGAAGAGAGTGCTACAGTGCTCCACCCTATGAGGAATAAGGGGGGGGTGCATTCCTCTGGAAGAGACCCAAGTGGTGGAGAGATTAAGGCGTTTGTCCCAGAGTCACACATTAAAGAAGTGTTTAAACCAGGATAAGCCCTGGGCCTGCTCTCCAAACCCAGGGTATCTCCATCTCCTCCCAGCATCACCAGTTGCTTTAGGAGCTTCGAGGAACCTGGATGAGTTGGGTGTAGGATTTGATCTGAGGTTTTGTTCCATGAGGAGTTGGGAAGAGGCTGGAGGATGTCAGGCAGGAACCGCCTCTGTACCAGACGCCATGAGGGCCTGCCGAGTCTGGCCTGTGCCCCCGGGCCTCTGGGGACAAGTCTGTTCTCTCAGGCAGGCCCTGCTGCTTTCTGCCCAGCTCCCCAGGCCTTTGGGATTAGGCAGGGAATTGTCTGCCAGGAAGAGCCCATCTGTTTCCAAGGTTAGAGAGATGAAGCCTCTGGGACAGGCTCAGGCGAGGAAAAGCCCGAGCCTAGCCATGGCCAGCTCTGGGCTTGTCAGGCAACAGAGAGGCCTCCCCACCTGGGCGGGTGCAGAGGTTGGGGATGCAGCTAGAAGGAAGCTGGGTCAGAGGCTGGGGGATGAGGGAGTTGGCAGGTGTGGGAACCGTGTCTGCTGGGAGATCATGAACATTGCAATCCGCTAGTCAAAGACTTTTTTCTGGCCTCCCTCTGACAGACTGAGAACACAGAGCAAGGCAGGCAGCACCCTCTCTGCCTGTCCCCCAGTCCCACCCGCTGGGTCCCTGGTATCACTTCCATCACACCTCGCTCCTGGGCAACTCCTGAGGGTCTTGTGCACAAAGAGGCTGCCTGAGCTTCTGGAGGTCCCCGGAAGGAGCATATCTCTAACTCTTCCCTCTGTCTTTCCCCCTATCACTCTGTCTTCTCTACTTGTCTCGTTCCCTCTTTTCTCTTTATGCCCCTTTCTTTCTCTTTCTCTTGTCTTTCTTACTTCCTTTCTTCTTTCACTTTTCTCTTGGGTGCTTCTTCTTCCCTCTTCCTCGCTCTTTGTCTTTCTGCCCGAACCACCTTTCTAGACCCCCAGTGGAGGCAGTGCTGGGGCTTCCAGCC